CCCACCCACACACACACACACACAAACAAACCCTGATTGCACTACCATTCCACAGTTGCGACTTGAATACTCTCACTGGTATGCACAGAGCACTTTTTTGTCAACTCTCTCTCGCACGCGCACACGCTCTCGGCTATGCGTGGCAAAACAGGTTTGAATGCTTGTCTTTGATTATGTGTATTGCACACACACACACACACACACATACACCTAAAACAGTCAAATTAACAATTATGCCGGGGGGTTGGGGTGGAGTACTAGTAATGATTGCATGAGCCGGAATGAGTGCCGACCAGCTACAGATGAGAAAGTAATTAATACTGTTTGGCTCGGGATTTCACACGCTGTGCGGGGAGGGGGACGATTTTATTCAAACTTCAGGAATAATTTCACGACTACGTACGAGTATAAAGTCTGACTCTACTTGACAGTTGCAAAGCATTTCGGTAATGCGCATACGTTTTTCAGGAACTGAACACATCGAAACGATACATGACAAACATTCCGCGCTGTTAAAATCCACTTTTTACACCTTATCCTCATTTCAAGCCACATGTCCATTCGGCTGCCCGCTCGGTTATCAGTGTCTGAAAGGCGAATGCGTGTGTCGTGATGCGTGCCCAAAACCGACCGCTTTGGAAGCGGATGTTTGTGGCAGTGATGGCCAAATCTATCCGAGTGAGTGCGAACTGAAGCGACAAGCTTGCCTGAAACAGACCAATGTGCGAGTGGATCCGTCCGGGGCAAAATGTCGCGAGTTGGCAAACCTCATTCATAACGGTTCAGTACCGGGTCGTGCTGATGTCGCGGACAGTGCGGGAACCCACCTGACTCAACCGCAAGCAGGTCAGTACGGGTGATTAAGTTGTTGCGGTAAAATGTGTTTTCGCGGTTAGCTTTGGTAAAATCCGTTTGACGTTTGAACCTGTCTGACTCGTGTGACTTTATCATCACTTCAGGCATTACTTATATGAGTAGACTCATTTGTTCCCCAACGAGACTGACGATATACAGTCTTGTTCCGATGTTATGTGCTTCCTATATGATACAGCGATGGAGATGGTCAGTTTTGTGTTTGAATATGGAAAAGGTTTAAGTAAGAAGGAAAACGGCAAAACAGGATACTTCATGAGTTCACTGCTCATAGAAAGAAAAAAGGAATTGAACGCCTCCATTTGACAGCTTGTTTCGTCACCTGGTGTTTCAAGACTTAAGACCGGTTCTTGTGAGAAAATGAAAATTTGAACGAGAACAGGAAATCGCAAGCTCTGAATCGTTAACGCTGTGGGTATTTTATCCGCAGTAAATTGTGATTCGACAGTGTGCGTTAGGGACGCAGCGGCAACACAGTTCATTTGGCCCGACAGCAACCGAAGGCGACACAGATGACAACGTGTTGATTCCAATCGAAAGCATCCCACCAGGCCAGAACTTCCATACAGGTACGGACTGATTGACCAACGAAACCACAAGGTTAGATTGATATTTCGGATTTGTCTCACAGTTACTTGTTCATAGTAGTGTGGGATAGTTGATTGAGCCTATTGCTTCCGAGTGTACGGTTGAATCGATGAACTGATGAGTGTGCGTGAAGGTGTAGTCTGAAGGATAGTCAGTCAAATCAATCAATATCATTTATCCCGGTTAAGACTCCCACATCAAGGAGCCAGGTACTGTCCATTTAGGTGTCATACTTTTTAGAATGATGATGGACGACCGTCAGTCAAATCTCGGTGATCTACTGGAAACAGTCGAGAGTGGATCACACATCACGTTAACGGCTTCATCTCTTTGAGCCTAATTTCCAGTCTCACAAGGATTCTGTGAATACACACAGTTCTATAGAAATGAGCAATTGGCAATGTTTTCACGGGTTTCTCTCAAATCTCACTAAATGAATCGTCATCGAACAGTACAAATACGTAAAACCAAAATAAGATGCACCACCGGAGCAGTAGTCCCACACTGTCCACAGATTAGGAGCGGATCCTCCTCTCAATGAGAAGCTTCATTAACAGTAGTCAGCTTTCAATTGCAAAGCTGAATGTGTACACTATTTCAGACAATACTGTTGCAAAATAACAAACAAATCCCAGTACCGTTTCAGTCATCTTTCCCTCCCCTCCCCCGTCCCGTCCCATGACCTTGATCCCCAATAAATATGGTTTTATTTTGGTGCTTCAGATCAAACAATCCAGACCAGTTGTAGCTGTAACAAAATCGGCGCGCTGTCCGAATATTGTGACTATCGTGGACGATGTCATTGCAAATGGGGTGTCCGTGGAGAACGGTGTGATNGCCTAACTACTGGGGCATTCAGAATGGGCATGAATGTATTGGTAAGTGCATCTCATCTATCTCATTTTATCTTTCTGGCTATTCTGAAGCTCATTTCGCGGTCGTGTTTCATCGCGTTACTCTCTGATACTATTCATTTTGACTAGGTGGTACTGTAAGCTCCGTGGATCTCCTCTAACGTAAATATTATCTGTCTGATTACTTGCTCTATTATTCACAATCTCAGTTGAGTTGGGCAAAACGTAAGCACCTTATCGTACGGGATACTTATATGAATATCAATGCGGTTCTGTAAGAAAGAAATAACTAACATTTAGTACACGTAAATAGGAGATTGGCATACATCTATAGTGAAAGGGGTAAGTACTCATATCAAGATTTCCCGAGTCCGCGTAAATAAACAACGTAATATAATCCACAGAGGTCGTACGTAATAGTCCGGTGCGCAATCGGTTGTGTGGGACCCTAATCACCCTGACTAACGGGCTAATGTCACCAGGTCAAGCACATTGATTGGCTGGGTTCACGAATGCGCGAATGGGTCAGAGTGGTGAGGTGACAGGCGCGGTGAGTACGTGAATGGTCTTATGACTGGTTGCATTGTCCTAGTGCGTGTCAGCGTCGCATGACTGGTAAGCATTGTCACGGTGTGCGTGCGTGTGTGTTATGTGTCACATGACTGAATCAACGAATGTGAACACGTGTGTAGGTAGGATGGGCAGATGTGTGTGTGGGTGTGATAGAACCCGATCGGGAAGCATATCGGCCGCTGACTAAAAGTTCGCCATCGTAAATCTTTGATTTTACAGCTACATTGATACCTAATATTAATTTGATTGAACGTGTTCGTGCAAAATTCGAACTACCGTAATTCTAGGCAAATTGCATCGGTCAAATTGGAACAATCAAGTGTCAGCATGATGGAGCCATTTATCAAATATGCAATATTGTAAGCATTTGTCTTTTTCAGGATACTTAACAGTCACTCAGAGGCTGTTCGGATTGAAAAGAAATGGGGAAACTTGTTACTGTTGATGGGTTCCCAACAATGTGGGAGTGTGGATATGTAGATGATGACCTTTATCAGCTTTATCAGCTTTGTTCCGCTACGTTGAAACTGATCAAACTGTTTTTCAGTTATTCTCTTGACTAGTTTATCCATCTGTTTCTCACTGTTAATTAAGACGAAATTCGAATTTTCCCAGGACTAAGATAGCTCTGAAAGTCAAAGAAAATCATTAAGATGAGATCATGATGTAATGGTCGTTGGCGGAGCTGGGTTAGGCTCAATAATCGAACTATCCATTTGGATACAGAATTTTTTATTGTCAAGTATGAATGCACTAATTGTAATCGTCGAATCGATCCATGAGAGTGACATAACGTTGGTGGCTCTCATTGAATCTAAGTCTTTCTCAAACCCTTCTTCAATGGTTATTCTCTTCAATGTAGCCTGCTCCTGTCATCCAGATGGTTCTTTGAGTACAACTTGTGATGCTATGACCGGTCAGTGTCATTGTCGTCCGGGCATTTTTGGTCGCCAATGCTCAATTTGTCCGGAAGGTGGTCGACTGACCAAGACAGGGTGCATAAACAGTGCGGGAGCACAATCCGGTGAGTAATCCAGACCTCTTGTTTTACTTCTTTTTCCAATCAGTGCAACTGCCACTCACATCCACCTTTATCCTGAAACGACCACCTCCGTGGTACAACTATCTACCGTAACCTTAGCATTCAAAAACACGCTTACTCCCAAACTGGTACACATTCAGTTTGACCCTCGGACTCGTTCCCTTATAACGGTGGAGGTGAGACATAGTTCCTTACTTGTCTCAACATTGGAAAAGCGTGGATCATCACAAATCTCCTCAAGTGATAGTTCTATTTATTCAGTCTGCCGTTTCCTAACCCTGTTCACTTTGTCTGGCCCATGTCTGCAGGGATCCTATGGGTTTACATGCGATTGATGTTTGTCCATAAGCCCTCTATATTGGCAGCATACTTCTGCAAAGCCCTGTTTAACTGTTAATATATGCTTTTATCCCCGGTCAATATTTTTTGCTAACATTTATTCCAGTTCTCTCTGGTTTACAAACACTGAACTCAAATTTGCAAGATTTCCGTAAGGATTTTAATTATCCTAGTTGTATATTTATATTGTTCCAGGAAATAATTTCGACCTAATGTAAGTTAGTCATGACGTGCGGATATTTCACCAAATCTAGTCAGGTGGTGTTTGTGATGGTGTTGTTGTTGTTGTTGTTGTTGTTGTTGTTGTTGTTGGTGGTGGTGGTGGTCATCCGATTCGTGTTGCTGGTATTGGTGTTGTGAGGTACTACTCACATATGTGAGTAGTATACAAAAGAATGCGGTTGGTGATTTCCTTTAGCGATCAGGAATACCGAAGGCAAATAGATGTGTCTCAGAAAATAACTGCCGACTGTTTCATTCATGGCCCGGTGTTCTGCCGGGAACTGTGACGATGTTTGAAACGAGATTTCTGTTATATCAAATAATATCGTAACCTTGAATGGCTGACTTCATTGTGTGACGGGCTGACTCGACGGCCCTCCAGTCCAGAATAACAAGAGGAATACGTGATGCAAACCGTATAGAGTAAAACTAAGGTTATAGAAAATCTGAAATCCAAAACAGTTTCATTGTAGTTTGTTTCATTTAGGGTGTTGGAGGGCATCAGACATGTGTAGATAAAGTTTCGTTTCTATAGTACAGCAATTTGTTCCATTTCGCCTGTTCACCGAGCTTGGCAATTTGGTTGCAGACCAAATGACGCAATAAAGGTCACGTCGTGACCTGAGAACGAACGGAAACTGCAATCGGGACGAAAGGACAACTTCCTCCTCCCGTCCCACCCCCACCCGCTTGCAGCAGTTCAACGGCGGACCGAGTCGAACACAGTGAGAACAGGGGACGAAAATAGTCGGTGGAGAAGAACGCATATATAAACGAACGGGTACA